CAGCCTTCACCATGCCCTCACGATGTCACCGGGGACGCAACTGCCAAAAAACTATTTTTGGCAGCGAGGACGCTACCAATAAACAATCAACAAACTACCAGGCTTCTAGATTGATTTGCAAGGTACTACATGGCTCAACTATTTTTTACTTAGGGGTTAATTGGTAAAAATCGCACACAAATTATACGACGTCACTAACAACACCGGGGACGGCAACTCGATTTTGGGATTAATTTTCCGAATAAAGTTATACTAAATAACTTCTACTGACAACCTATTGTTGCAGAACGCAAAATATTTTAAATTAGTGTCATTGAACTATTATTATTATTATTATTATTATTATTATTATTATTGGCGCCACCACTGGATTCAATAATTTGCTGTATACCTTGCTTTGCCATTTTCGATAGGTGAATAGAACCTATTGTAACTTTAGAGCACTGGTGAATATTTATTACTTCGTAATTTGCATAACGAATTATTTATAAACCATGCTTCCTACGATGTCATTATTTAGATATAATGGCACTCGACTTCAACGGTTATTTAGGCCTATATATAATTGGAAGTAAAAACCATTATTTAGATATGATGACCTTGACACGATAACACGTATGCATTACATATAATGAGTTTGAAGTCCAAGCATTATGGTTTTCGACAGCTATTATTTATATATAATGATATGTAAAAGCAGTTATTTATAAATAATGAGTTTGAAGTCAATTCGTTATTTATATATAATGAAATCAGTGAACTTATTATATACTGTATAAATAATTATAAGTTACTTTTCATTATTTATATATAATGATTTGTTACCTTTTCATTATTTATATATAATGGAATCGGTGAACTTATTATATATAAATAATTGTAAGTTATTTTTCATTATTTATATACTGTGTAATGATGTGTTTCTCCTTCCTTATTTATATATAATGAAGTAAGTAACCTTATTATATATATGAATAATGTTTGGTTAGCCTTTCATTATAAATAATAATGTAATCAGTAAACTAATTATATATAAATAATGAAACGTTAACGCAATTATCTACATATTATCTTTTAGACGTAAATGCACTATATATAAGTAATGGGTGATCTAGTCAATTATTATTATATAAATGCTCGATATGATCATTCGGGTCCGATGGCACCTCCAATTTCAAGCAAGTGTTGCAGGGACTTCGAAGTTACTCTGGAGTTAGCTGGTTGCATATGAGAATGAAGAAGATAATTCTGATAGCAACATTGATTTATTGCTTTAAGTACTGCGAATAACATTAAAATGCGAATTTAGAAAGTTTGGATAAAAGTAGGCCCTATTTATTATTTTCATAGTGTTGTTTTAACGCCAATTTGTGCTGCCTAATTATGTCACTTAATTCATTCTAATTAAAGAGAGTCACGGATTTGACAATAACAGGCCCTTAATTTGTTTGCTATAGTTCGACTACAATGTACCTTAATATTTAATTCATTTAAATCAAATTTAGATCAAACTTAATAATTTGATTTTAAATAGCGGATTTATTTAGGGGGTAAAAAAAGAAAGAAAATTTGATCGCCCAAACGCATGAGGTTATATTCGGGAGAAAACAAAATTTCCTCTAAGATGGTGTTATCTTTATCGGACCCACTTTCGACCCCCCTCCCCTCCCCTTTTTCAGCCCCGGCTCCTCCCCTTTTGGGCATCTCTAGATTCGCCCCTGAATTGGCCTACATGCCAGCAACTAAAGAACATGCTCTTTAATATTATGATTAGGCTGGGCATGTATTTTATGGTGATAGATTAATTAAAAGAAAAACAGTGAAAGTTTAACATTGTTCTGTGTATATCATTTGAATTCCTTCAATTTCAAACGAATGACCGCTGATTTCGTGTAATTTCTGTAGTATTTCAAATGAATATGTACCCACTGTTGTCTTCTAATCGGATTAAAATCTAGCCGAATTTTGGGCGATGAAAAAAAGTTTGGCCGAATTTGGTCGTGAGATGGCGTGTGTTTGGCCGTGAAACCTGTCGACTATCTGGCAACCCTGACCTGGTCAGATCATGTGTAAACGTTGTAACTGAACCGAGTTCGACGGCTGGGTGGGCCTAGCAAAAACTCCTGATCATTATAATTATTTCTGCTTATTAACAATGGTAAGGTAGTTGTAGTTATTTGACTCGTTGAGTTGTTACATCGTCTGTCGGCAAACTTTCTTTTCCATGAACGATAGGCATAGCTTAGCCTCTTTACTTCCTACTATCTGCTGTATAATTGCAGTCTACCCTAGGCCTAGTAGACCTGTGTAAAGGAGGTGTATCTATTCCGATTGCAGTAAGACTGCCGCCTTGGTAAGGTATCCGAATACCCATGTATCCAGCCTACTCCCCATTCATATAGGATAGGCCTATGATGTAGGCTGAGCCTGTAAACGTTGATATCTAACTTTGTGGCCATTTTGATTTTGTAGTGTTGTTGGCATATTATTGTAATGCCAGTTCATTTTCAATTTTAGATCATAAACTTAGGCCTAAATAAACATTTTTATTAACATTTTTAGTATTTTAAGCAGGATGACACAATCATTTGCTGAAATGTTTTTCATTGTGGTCCTGGAAATAACACGAGAAAACAAATTGAAACTTCAAAGCAGTTTTATTCCAATTTGGTGGGGGGAGGGGGCACACCAAATGCATGGTCCGGTGGGCTAAATATTTAAAACAAACCAAACCAGTCACTCTACGCAAAACAAAATAGATTTTTAGTTTAAAATGAGAGTTATATAAAATGGAAAAAGAATCATTTAAATCGAACATTTCCTTATGAAGGTACAAGCGTTTAAAAATACAGCTGTTTAAAAAACAATATTTGAGAAATCAGTCTTAAAAGTTTATGATTTTGGGCATTTCTCTGGCAGAAACTATAGTATCACCAAAACATTCAAAATTTGAACTAAAATGGGGAAAATAACAGCATAATAGCATGATGAATAGATATATAAAGTTCAGTTTAGTGTGATAAAATTTCAAAAATGTTGACTTTCCAGTATGTTTTGGCCATTATCTCTAAAACAAGATCGGCGACGAGTGACTGGTTTGGCTTGTCTTTGCCACATATTTGTTTGACAAGATCAGGGGATGCCAAATACATAATGTACATTAACTAGCCTTTTGGCCTTCAAAACAATATTTTCCCCTATTTCAACATTGTGATGGTTACGCAGAAGTGATGTTCACAGGCCATAAAGGCTTGGGCAGTGTTTTCTGCTATTTATGAATTCTTGAGCAGAGTGTTTCAAATTTTTACATCAATTTGTGCAAATACAATAAAATGTGCATAATGGTGATACGCCTACACAGGTATCGTATGTTTCACTGAATAATGTTGTGATTTAGTTCATCATCAGCAGTTTATTCGAATACAGTACACAAAGTTGTTTTCATGTAATATACTTGAATGCTTTTGTACAATGTACTTGTAGCAAGTGAACTATTACACACTAAACACATACTCTATTGACCATGAACAATATTGCCAACCACAATTCTTATTTAGTACTGTATTATAAAATAAATAATGATTTATATCTGCAATTTCCCTATTACCATATTTTACAGAGGTTCCGATTCTGTGGTGATCTTGATTGCCCTGATTGGGTATTAGCAGAAATAAGCACATTATCAAAAATAGTAAGTATGGCTTATGCTACATAAACATGTTGAATGTTATTAATTTTGGTAAAATGTCTTTGGACAAAAGACTATTCTTGCATGTACTACCATATATACTCGCATATTAAGCAACCCCCGAGTTTGAAAAGATTTTTACCTCTAGCTGGTTAATAACTAAGCCAAATGTAGTGCTAATCTTCTATGAGGCTCCAAATGTACTTTCATTATTTAACAAAATTATATTAATATAATTCATTATTCAATATATAATTTGTTCATTATACAGTATACATGTACTGTAATTAGTTTTGCTTCCAACAATTATATATAATTAATGCGCCAAATGTACTTTCCCATTATATAGAAAAGATACCTTGCCCAAGGACACAAGCGACTTGCACATCGAGAGTTCCGAACCCCTGATCTCAAGGTTGGGAGTCCAAGCCACAACAGATGCGCCAACTGCTTCAACATTGAAATAGAATAGCCTAAATATAATACTATTAATTGGTTCAAAGAACTCACTCATTGTTAGCCTGGGTTCCAGGCCCTAATTTTAGGTTACTCATTCTTTATTGCACTTAGTGCGCGCCATACCTAATTTAATTGGCGTCCCATACTCGATTTCTTTTTTTTTCGGATTAGGGCCTGGGCAAACGGTTCATGCGTACGATTTCCCACATCAAATTCGATGTGGGATATTGTATGCATGACTGATTTTGTAAATCACGTGATTGGCTTACTTCATGCAAATATAAATTAATCTTGGTAAATTTTCATAATTGAAGATGCGGATGTCTCGACTAGGAGGACAAGCTAACCAGCTCCCTTCTGCCTACCTACTTGAATTAAAACAGTTATACTTATATAGTCCTGGCCTGCTGCGAACGACTATGGACTGATAACCGTAGTAGGCTATACCTACAGAACCTTGCTTACCGCTAGCTGCTACACAGATTTAGGCCTTTACGGTAGAATATTGTTTAAAAAGTAGGCCTCTGTAAGTAAGAAGCCTCTACTAGGCTAGGCCTACTACTTCTGACTCAAGAGGCCTGAGCCATCCTCCTGGAAAGTTAAAGTTTTGTTTTATTTGTAATGGTATGCCATCTAGTCTAAGCTTAATTGTTTTTGCCAAAATTAGTCTTACTAGGGTCTATTCTAAATATTTTAGGCCTGATTTATTAGGGAGGACTATTTTTAGTCATGCCTAACTAGTCGACGCGACTGACTCAGTTTCGTGGCTCCAAAAATATGAACAGTTGATTGGTTGAAATTGTTTATTTCGGTCCGTTCCTTTATCCAAATACGGAATATAGATTACGTCATTCTTTTGGCATCCTGGTGCCCGCATTCAGTGTTTTACAAGTCGCTTATTCCATCTCTAAATTAACTTTCTCGTTGGTGGCGCTGTCCAGAATGAGAAAAATAATAAAATATAAGAGACTTGTTTCAAGTTTAACTCATTGTTAGACTGATGGAGTACAGCAATAGAGCTTATTTTCATACATAAATGTGTTTTAATGAATACATAATAAATTATATTTATTTTTGTGTTTTTGTTTGATTACCTTTCTTCTTTTTCAGACATCAGTTAAGATGAAGCTACTGTGCACTCAAGTTATAAAGGATATGCTGGGAGAATCAATCGACGTACGTGCAATAATTTGATGATGCTGTACAGTAATAATAAGAATATGACTAGTAAAGTAATGTGTAAAACTTGAAAGAGATAGAGAAGTTTGCATTTATCATTGTCAATTATGAAGTGGTTGAAAAATCAATATTTTCAGGACTTGCCAGGGACGGGAGAAAAGCCAGAGTATTCTTAGGATGTTCTCTTTCCTATTGTGGAAGTTTAATGGGGCTTCCCTTAGGAAGTGCCAGAGTTTTTGACATTTTAATCTGTAAAGATTATTTGTTTTGGGATAATGAGGCTGGGTAGGGAGAGGTGGGAAGAGTTAGCTCTGTTGCCTCCTGAGTCTGTAATTTGGCAAATACATTTTGCTTTAATATCTGAACTTTTTTTTTTCTTTCATGTATGGTGCTTTATATTTTCTTTAATGCTAATTTAATTTATGTTCTCATTGGCAAGGGAGAGTCACTAACTAGACAGTGATTCAGTTCACTTTTTGGCAATCCTGTCCAGTCAACTGAGTGTTGTTTTTCGCTCTCTGTTACCTTGTGTTTCTTTGGACAAAATATATGAAATGTAAAGAAATCATTTTAAACATTCAATTTTTTACAGTATGAAAAAGTCTATAAGTTGACATCAGATGCTAAATATGGTGAGTACTGTTATGATGCTTATGATTAAATAATAATTAATGCTATTTAGATTTTTTGATATCCCTATTTTATTACAAATTTTCATGTGAATCCAGTATGTAATATTTCCCAACATACTTTTGGGGAAAAGTGCTGCAAATAGGTGCTGCTGGGAGGCTGCACACACATGTCCAAAAAACAAAAAAGTATGATGTTACTTATATTCTGTAACGTTTCATCAGAACAATTTAAATCTGCAATTACTGAACAAGTTTAGCTCACAAATCATTCCATTAATTGGGAATGATCCAATGTCATTGACAGGGAATCCGACACGTTTACTAGATGGCCTCAGGAGTCCATTTGGATTCGCAGCAGGGGAAAAAATACACTCAACAAGGACGAGGGGGCTTACAAACTCAATTACATCTTTGATCAAATACACACCCTCTATGGTGATTTCTTAAAGCTTTAAAAGCAGTAGAAAAAAGATCGGTTGCCAGTCTGATGAAACCACTATGTTAGTGGCGAAAAGTTACTGAATATAAGTGAGTAACATCATACTTTTTTGTTTTTGGAGTTTATTTATTCAACGGATTAGTCAATCTACTGCAAGAAAAATTCATGATGCCACTGCTGATGCTTTTGCAGTGCAACAGGAAAACAAATCATAGGCTAAACTACTCTCATTATCAGTAGTATTTATTTGTTTTTGTATTTTTAGAAACAAGTGATGTAAAAGCAGCCATAGCAGCTCTAAACTTCATTTTCAACAGTGCCACCAAGTACGATGTTGATGGCGATTCATTGTCTAATGAACTTCAACAACTTGGTCTTCCAAAGGGTACAAGTATTTTAAGAATTAGTACACCCTCTATCAACATCAAGTATTTAAACTTTAATACTGCCCTCTATTGGGCAGATTAATACTTACAATTTGTACAGTATAATACTGTAGTATCTTTAAAAAATTTCTAGCATTTTATTTCCATTGTCTACTTTTGTATAGTAAAGTACAATGGATATATAGACATTTTAGAAGACAATGATGACAATAATCATGATCAAACATTTTATAATGTGCCAATTTCAAATAATAAAAAAAAAACGAAAACAGTATTATTTTTACTGTGTGGAAGCTCAATATTATCAATCTACTTTTTAACCCATAGTGCCCAGCTATGCTTTATAAGGTTTAGAGGAGTGGTGATATTGTGGGTTTTTTTTTCAGTAGAGAGGGAAAAAAATCCTGGTATTTGCAAGGACTTAACACAGAACCTTAAAAGTGAAGCAGCTATAGCCCCCTAACCCCAAAATTACTGTCCCGCTCAACTCTGTATTGATATTTTAAACTAATAAGCAATTTGTAGAGCTATGAGTAGTACACTGTAGGAAAATTATTATACGAAGTTTAGATTTAATGCTTGAAAAAATTTCCTAAAGGGCCTGCAAGGCCCGAAAGAATTTTTTGAATGCATTAAATCTAACCTAAGTATAATAATTTCCCGCTAGTGGAATTAGCTCTACTAATTGCTTTATAAGTCAATCACTGTCTTTTAATGTTAGTTTTTTGTTAATCAACTTTTGTAGCAGTCTTTGGTTGCTATAGTGATATGATCAGTCCATTGTGTGCGCTGCGTTACATTTAGCTGTGCGTATGCTGGTTTGTGCTTGTGCTGTATGCGCAGCAGTACAATACGGATACGATAAATAACTTTTGTTTGTGTAAGAAGAACTTGTTTGGAATGCTATAAACATTTCTTAAAGCATTTGAGAGAGTCAATTTTTGGTCGATGCAGACAGGTAAAATCGTGCGATGATTAATAACTAGCTAGACTAGGCTGGGCTACGGCCTAGGTACTAGTAGTAGTAGTAGGTAGGAAAGGCGGCCTCCCTGCCTGGCCGTAGGCCTACATCTAATTTCGTTCCTATTAAACGTACAGTTCGTTTAGTTTATGAGGGTCCAATGATTCATTCCTTAAATTGTTCAGACGTAATACTGAATTTGAAGTAACTTTCTTCGGGTTCTGATTAACCTTGTTTTACGAAAGTAATTTTCAATACAATTCAATTTTCATTGCGGTGAGCAATATCTTGTCACAGTGACGAAAAAATGAGGTTTTTAATAAGAAAAATTATTGGACGGTGGGGAATAGGCAAATAACATTGGGAGTTGCAGTGGTGACGTCACGATTGACTTATAATAATTTTTATTTTATTTCAGAGCATGCAAGTTCATTATGCCGATCATACCAAGATAAAAAATCTGTCTTAGAAAAGAAATTTAGAGAGCAGAGCCTCAGACGTAAGTCAGTTACAGAATACAGAATAAAATGTTGTGGATACTATGAAATAACCTACGACCTGTTTTGACATGCAGGTAATTCTAATTTTAATCTTTTCTTTATATTTCTTAGTATCAAGATTGGAATCTGTTGAGTGGCGGGTAGACTATATATTGAGTTCCAGTGAACTCCAAGAGGTTAACGACCCCTGCGTGCAGCTGAAGTTGAATATTGCCAACTCAGAGAAGACGGAAACAGATTCTAAAACATTTACAATGGATGCCAATAAATTTAGGATATTTTTGTCGGGTAAGTGAACATGTAAGTGCCTACGAGCTGTAAAAAATTTCACCACTAAACTTTAGTGTACTGCATGTTTTTATTATATTTAATGTTTTATTACTTCCTTTTCAGAAATGAAACAGACATTGAAAATGATGGAAAGTCTCTGATAGGTCCTCTCCCAACAAGTATCTGTATTGTTGAAAAGGACCAACAAACTAGAATATTCAAATTTTGCCTAAATTTTGAGTTTCAATTTTGCAGATTTTAAATATTATAACATATATAATTACATATCTTCGTATTATGGACAAGTAGTACTTTTTGATGAGGTAGGCAATCGATTGGCTCCTTGAAATAGGTAGCCCCATGGGAGTCCGAAAAAGCCGCAGTCGCACTTAACTTTCTTTGGTAAAACTAACAGACAACTAGTTATAGTTTTACCATAATTCGTCCAGTGCGAACAGCCCTCAAAACGAGCAGTTAGTATAACTAAGTGGATTGCGCACAGTAAAACTGACCAGATTAGTTTTACCATGCCGAAAAGTCCAATGCAAACATGCATCTTGGTTAAACTTCAAGCCTTGCTCAATGAATTATGCCACGGATTCGTGCCTTTAATAGGTGATTTTCACGAATTGGTTTTATAATTTCTCACAGTAAAACTAACCATCTCCAAAAAGTCCAATTGCAAACAGCAGTAAGATTTATCCATGTTGCCCACTGTCTCGGTAATATTTTCCCTTTTTTAAGTTCAGTGCTATTGCGGCTTAAAGGTGTTTAAACGTTACACAACATTACTAACCAGCCACTGTGACCAAATGAACCACAACAAGGTGAATAAGAATAAAATTTGTTTTGAAACTAGACCTGGAACTCTTTGCATTAAATTTAATTTTGAAAGCCAAGTGGAGGAGTGAAGGAAATTATGATGCAATTCAGAATATCAATAGTTTTAACATAGGGATACTATATAGTGATATCCTCAACACCATGAAGGTGAAAAGCTTTCAGAATAATAAAAATAATGATTTTTATAAAGTACAGTACATTAAAAATACTGTAGAAATTGTTCTCATCCTTTTGGTTTTGAGACAAATGTGGGAATTCAATTGTGTCTTGGCCAAGAACACAAGCACATGTCTGGTACAGGATTTGAACCCTGGATTACATGGTTGAAACGAATTGGAACCATGGTTGCCCATTTTGGCACAGTGTAGTCAACCGTTTCTGGATCGGGATAAATAATAAATATCATTGGGAAGCATCAGAGAGCCAAATTTTCTATTCTTTTCATTATTATAGCATTTAAGTATTAATTATATACAGTACTATTCATCTGGACATTACCTCAGTTTTGGTAGAGATGTTCCAAATTATACAGTAATAGTTTTATATTCGCTGATACAATGTCAGAGCACTATGAATAAAAGAGTATTGTTGTTTTTTATTTAGTCTAACAGTAAGCAATCTATTATACAAAATTAATTTGCAAAAATATTAATAATTCTTGATTTTATGTAACATGTATTGTATAACTATGATACATTACAATCAAAATAAAATATGTAAATATTTATATTGTTGTGAATATTTTTTTTTTATAAAGTATTCAACGAAAAGTCCCTTTTTCAGTTGTATCCAACCAAAAATCCATTATCTGTGAAGGTTTCAAACAGTTGTATGAGAGAAAGTGCCTAGGGGCTAGATCTATGCATATACAGTAGTACAGTAGTAGTGAGAGGTTGTATGTTTGAATCTCACCAGAGACACATTTTTCATAAAAATCAATCAACTAATTTAATCCATCAAAAACATGCTTGATAAAATAGACATCGAGAAATGACAAAAGAACACCAACAAAAAACAAAAGTACTGCATTATAAAAAAGAAAGATAAACATTAAATAACACGTTTCTTAAAAGCATGATTAACAAACTTAATAATATAGAGAAGAATATTAAAGTTATGCATACAAACTAAAAAGACAAATGTAACAAATGTATCTTTTCTGATATTAATCAGTGGACCTATCAAACTTTGTATTTGCAATTTTGTATTTTAATTGTTGTGCCTCTGGCAGTATATAAATGTTTTGTTGGAATAATGATCTTTCTTTCTTTTAATAATATTTTAAGAGGAAATGTCCCACTCAGCAAAGCTGATTTTCAGGGGAGTCCTCATCACAACAGACAAATTA